GATGCGCACGGTGCGCTCCAACCTGCTGCCGCCCCCGGGCACCGAGGACCCCGCGGCGGGCGCGGCCAAAGGCGGGCAGCGGCGGCGCGGGTGTGGCCAGCACCTGGCGGACAACCGGCTCAAGACCACCAAGTATACGCTGCTGTCCTTCCTGCCCAAGAACCTCTTCGAGCAGTTCCACCGCCTGGCCAACGTGTACTTCGTCTTCATCGCGCTGCTCAACTTCGTGCCGGCGGTGAACGCCTTCCAGCCCGGCCTGGCTCTGGCGCCGGTGCTCTTCATCCTGGCGGTCACTGCCTTTAAGGACCTGTGGGAGGACTACAGCCGCCACCGCTCGGACCACGAGATTAACCACCTGGGCTGCCTGGTCTTCAGCAGGTGAGTGTGGCAGGCGGAGCAGGCGAGCGCGGAGGCCCGGGCGCTCCCGGGAACTTGGTGCTGGGCGCGGTGTGAACGGCTCGGGGCTGAGGTGCTTGTGGAACCGAGCGGGGCCGAAACGGGGTGAGGGCCCCTGGCCTCCCAGGGCCCTTAACTATGATCTCTTGTCCCAGATTGTTCTTCTGACTGCATCTGAGCCAGAATGATCCCAGGGCTGAAATCTGGCGACTTCTGGGCGTTCTCCTCTCTCCACAGCTCCCACCTGAAGTGAAAGGGAGGGAAACCCAGCCCTGGGCACCCTGGCCTGTGGTCCCTGCCTCCGCTTGGCCGGGCTTGGCTGGGCGTTGTGATGCTGGCTGTTTAACATCTGACTCAGTCGTATAAAGCTCAGTCTTAGATAATAGCTCATCGTGGGGCAACGAAGTGGAACTGCCACCAAGTTCTGATGTGCCCGGCGCAGCCTGAGTAGAAGGGCGGGGGTGATAACTGCGGTGTGTGAGCTGTGAGCAGGCCCCAGACCTGGGCGCTGTCCCAGAGTTGCTCATTTAATTTTTAAAAATATTAACCTGTTTCTGCACAGAAAGAGGCTTTGAGTCATTGGTGAGCCCTGCCACGGTTACTATCAGGACCTTTCAATGGACTCTTTTTCTCTCTTCCTGCTCTTCTCCAAAGCTTTAGACAGTCAGATGCCTGCTGCCCTTCTTTCCTTATACCCCTATCTCAGGAGAGCCACTTGGCTGGAAATCCATCTTGGAGCTGTGTCCAGCAGCCAGAACCAGCTCAGGGTCCCTCCCTTGAGGAAGGTGGACAGTCTCAGCCCTTGGCCGGAGCTCAGCCCATTTTTTGCTCCTGTTTCACCTGGCTTCATCCCTAATACAGGGACTGAGATGGGCCTCTGAGTCGGAGGGCACAGCCATGTCCGGCATCCATCGTCCATCGTCCATCGTCCATCGTCCATGGGGAGACCCTAGGAAGCCCCTTGCTTCTCAGCAGGCCTTTCTGCCTCTGAGGGTAGCTGGGAGGAAGGCCGTGAGTATCTGCCCTGCACTTGGGTACCTCTCGCTCTCCCAGCTGCACTGCAGTGGTTATGCTTCCTACTTGTAGGTAAAGAGAACATCGGCAGAGGTTCCGAGAGGCTAAGTTACCTGCCCAAGATCACACATTTGCTCTGTAGGTCAAACAGGAGTTGCTAGGGTTTGACCTGAGTCTTCTGGGCCGCACAGCTTTTCCAATATTTCTGTGTTTTGCTTTTCAGACTTTGAGGATCTTCTTAAAAATAATAATTCTCCGAAGTTTTTGACCCAATAGTTTTGGATTCTGGGAGTTGGGTCCGGGAATGGGAGTGTTTGACTAGCATGGAGGTGCCTCGTATGTGATGGCCCACACTTTGAGGAGGTACCCACAGGTAGTCAGCAAGCATGACGCCGATGGGAAGGGCTGTGGGATTTCCTGGCGCCTGTCCACCAAAAGCCTCAGTGGGGAAGGGAGGGGGCATCCCTTACACAAATACCCTCAGTGTTCTCTGAGTGAGGACTCTGTACCACAGAGCCCTGATGGGCTGTAGCAAGTTTAAGGCTTTGCACACCCACTGCTTCCTGCTATTACTGAGCCTAGGACTCCTGCAGCCTTCTTTTCAGAAATACAGGCCTCAGGAAATAGTTTATTTTCAGTTGGCAGAGTACTTTCAACTCCTGATGTCATTTGATCTTCATAATAACTCTCACCCCCAACTTGCAGATGAGAAGACTGAGGCTGGGATCTAAAAGCAGTTCTCTTGACTCCATGACCTTGAAAAGCTTCATGGGACTTGGGGGCCTCAGCTTCCACTTGGACAACACCCATCCAGGCTCCCTTCCTCTTCCTCTCCCATCCAGCTGGATTTCTGAGCCCTCAAGTACAGACCTTGACTCAGGGTGTCTTAATTACCTCTCAGACCCTGTCTTTCCTATTTCAGAAACTGCCATGGTTTTCCATTCAGTTTCCAACTGCCTTGAAGACAGCCCAATGCCCCCCTTCTGTCCATTGGTCACTGGAAAGCCAGTCCCAGAAAGTCTGGAGTTGGTGTTGGCAGGTCCTAAGGATGGCAGGAGGAAGAGGTTCATCCCATCCAGAGTTTGCGTGTCCACTGGGTGAGGCCTTGGGCAGGGCTCCTAGCCTAGGGATGCAGATCCAGGTCAAGAGAGGCCTCTCAGAGAAAGACAGAGTCTAGAATGGTGGAGTGAGCACCAGGGAAAATGTGATGTGGCGAGGGGTGGGGAGGACAGTGCTGTACGTGGAGGGGGCATGGCAGGATCAAGGCACAGAAATGGGGAACACGTTATAGGGAGCAGGGCTGGGGGGTCTGGGCATGGACACGAAGCCCAGAGTCTCGAGGAGCTGATGCTGGGATAGTGTAGAGAAGCCTGGGAGAATGACTTCTGTGTCAGGTGGAAGTCTCTTCATGCCTTCAGTTACTGAGAGAAAATTAGAAGCCGGAAGCCACCGGGGTCCGGTATGTGCTGTGATGGGATCAGGGTCATCCCTGCAGTCAGAGCATGCGTCAGCACAGAGTGAGATCAAACTTTAGCGAGGGAAGTCTCAGCCTGCTGACACTGTCCCTGGAGGGTGACTCTGTGGACGTTCCTTTGTATTCTGACTTGTCACCTCTACCCTGTCTCTCCTTCATTCTGTTATTTGAATGGTGGGTCCTTGGGCCCTGTCTTTATGTGACTCTCTCACTGTGCTTGTCAGAAATGCAGCTTCCTAGGTCACAGGTGTTTGGGAAGCCGTCCTCTCGTTTTCTTGTCAGCAACCTCACAGACCCCATTTTATTGTCTCATGGATTTTGGACACTTATTTAGGAAGGTCTTCTTGGGCTATGCACAGCAGGCTGAGAGCGTGTGCTGGATGATTCTGGGGCTGAGGTCCTGCCTGTGGCCCCTGTCTATGGGAAGGACACCCCCCACCCAGGGTCTCTAAGGCTGTGGTCCCAGGGAATGGAGAGGGTGTGGGAAGTCCCTCCTGACCACATAGACCTCCTTGGTGCTGGCAAAGTCCCTCCAGAGAAGCCATCTCCCTCTGGGTTATGGGTGGAAAGGGGCCACCTGAGCTCAATCCCTGACATACAGTCAGGGTGTGCCCTGGTGGGAGTCCAGGGTGATGTGGGCTCAGGCTCCTGTATGGGGCTTGGACTTCCCTTTTGCTGACTTGGGTCTCCAGCATGAGTGTCCAGCTGGCACAAGGCAGACAGACACACACCAGAAGCTGGCTGCTGAGCCTCCAAAGGACCTCAGGGCTCTTGGCTGTCAGGAATGGAGGAGGAGAGGGGTGGGGGAAGGTCACCCTGGCAGGACAGGGTTGTGGAGGCAGAAAGCAGACAACATTTATCAGAAGAAGACTTTGAGGAAATTGAAGAAGAATCCTCCAAGCAAAGGCAGGAGCCAAAGAAAGAGCCCAGGAGAAAGCCCTCTCATCCATGCCTTGGTGGTAGACCTAGTGGCCTACTCCCAGAAGACAGAGGGTCAGAGGCAGGCCCTCTGCCTGTGGCCTCCATCTTTGCTCCAGACCTGCCAGAGTTATTATATCATTTTTTCCCCTTTTGCTTTCGTATACTTTGTGATGACTTAAATATCATCTTATTATACATTTTAGGGTTTGTATACAGAATGATGAATTTTCAGGGCTCCGCACTTGGGTTAGAGTGTGACTCTTGGTGTCTCTCTATCATCTTTTGGGAAAACAGGTAGTTGGAGGGGGTGCTCTCTGCTTGTGTTGGAATGACTCTGCCTTTTGTCTCTTCCTTTTCCTGTGGTTCTTGCTTCATTTTCCCAGTCCGCTGGGGTTATCTGTCCAGCCCTTGCTCCCTGCCTGTCGTGGTTTGTTGTTTCAGAGAAGCCCAGCAGATGAGAAGGGGATAGTCTCACTCATCAAAATCCTTTTATTTTATCTTCTGCCAGGGTTTTGTTTCTCTTGCTTCCCTTCTCCCACTCCTCTCCGTCTTTTTCTGCCCCATTCCCAGGGAGCCACGCCTCTCCTGGCTGGTGTCCTTGGTCCTTGCCAGGGGTATTCCTTCCTCCTTTCCCTCTTAATGCAACAAGAGAGCAGCAGCAACCAGCTCTCTCCTGGAAGCGGCAGCATCTGTGTGTCATTTGAAAATGAAGGATTTGTAAAAGCAGACACCAGGACAAGACTCAGGAGTTAGAAGATCATGCCAGTTCTCTTTAATCAGGATTGACATTCCCACAAGTACATTAGGGTGTGGGACCCTTAAGGAATATTTTCACATTGCCATTCACAATGTGAATTCCAAAATACACATGGATTTTGGAAATAATTTTCTTTTTTTTTGAGACAGAGTCTCACTTTGTCACCCTTGGTAGTGTGCCATGGTGTCACAGCTCACAGCAACCTCAAATTCTTGGACTCAGTGATTCTCTTGCCTCAGCTTCCCACGTAGTTGGAACTATACTCGCCCACCACAACACTGGCTATTTTTAGAGATGAGGTCTCAATCTGGCTCAGACCTCAGGTCTCGAACCTGTGAGCTCAGGCAATCCACCTGCCTCAGCCTCCCAGATTGTTAGGATTACAGGTGTGAGCCACCTCACCCGGCCTGGAAGTAATTTTTTTAACTTAAAAAGTTGTTTTTTTCCATTTCTTCTCCAACTGGTCTAGCTTTTCTTTTGATACTTGTTACATGTCATATATTGCTGGGCTTATGAGGTCAAGTTGTAGTGGAAAAAGAATCTTTCCCTATATTTAGTTGTCATGAGAAGGCAGTCTCTTTCTTGGGTCATTTTTTTTTTTTTTTTTTTTTTTTTT